TGGGAAATATACTAATTTGACCTGCAATATTAGCACCAAAAATCCATTCAAAGGTTGACTATACATGGTGGGGTATTAGGGTCATGTTTTGGTTATGCAATGAAGCAGCAACCCAAAAAACGTTTGGGAACTGTATTCAAATACCACAAAATGATGCAAAAGTTATAATTCCTAGTTCTAGATTTTAGGATCCAGGAAGGAAATGAGATGGACTTTAAAAAACAAAACAATATATTCTCACTGATACATGAGGTACAAAAAAATGAGTCTGTCACGAGTGCATCTTCAGGAAATCAGGGTTCACTTAGTTGACTTTTCTACATTATACATTAAAAAAAGTAGTTAGTTGATATAAAAGTTTGAGATGTTTTTATTCCAATAGTATAAAATGTCTAATACTATTATAATATAAATATTTCTTTCCAACTATTTGTCTGTCAATATCATGAAAATCTGGAAGAATCCTTTATTGTGTAATGCGTTGTGAAGTGTTTTTCTAATTTGTTTATTGCTTTGAGCAATAAAGTGTTGGCTAAAAATAGTATATATTTAGAATTTAGATTCCTAGCCATAAATAGAAGTAAGTTTGTATTAAGTAACACTCATCTGACTAGGATGAGTTAAAATCAGAATTTTGAATAGTGATTTTCAAAACAGTGATAATCTTTCTGCTCAAGATTTTATACTTCATAATATTCCTCTTTCTTCATAATGTTCTTTCTTCATAATGCTCTTCTTTCTTCAATGCATTTATATTATCCAATGCTCAGTCTATTCATATTAGACAATGTATCTATCCAAGACCATACTATTCTCTCACAATCTTTTTCTATCTTGGTTATATTAATAATTATCTGCATATTTCTAAAGTAATGAATTTTTATTTTTTAATCCAACAAATTTTTATAACTTTAAACATGATTTTTCTGTTGGATTAATAAATAAAAATACATTACTTCTTTAGAAATTGCTTTGCTTACATTTGGATATGAAACTGAACAGATATGAACTTTTGCAAACCTAAAACAAGAGGAATTTCACTTCTGCCTTGCTTGATCAGTGATACTCTTCATAGATGAGAAGCATGTCTAAAGTATGTCAAATCTGTCAATGGTTTCTCCTACAAAGGGGGGTGCAGGTTCAAACCCTTCCAGAGGATACATATTTTTCTTTAATAAGATTTCTCGAATATTCGGCCCAGCAGATGAAAATAAATATACTGTTTAAAATAAATGAAATGTCTACTAAAAATAACATTTAAAGTGATAAAATTATCTGCATGTAATATTGTTGTTGGTTATGTAAGCTAGTGATAATGCCCTTGACCATCATTAAAGGTTAAGAAACCTAGTACCAGATTCATTTCTGTCTCAATTACTTTTTTGTTTTTTTGAGTGAGCAAGAATGAAAATCCTAAGGTATTTTGCCAAGTGCCTTACCTTTGTGTATAACACTGCTTTACCTAAGAGGACAAAAAATTAATTGAGATATAAACGTGTGCAAAAGTTTGATGCATTAGCAAAGAGAAAGGCAAATGTACACTTTCACATCAATGCTCTTAAAACACATTCATGTTTAGTCATCTGCATACAAAGTAGGCATATATTGACCTTGGTTAAGGATTCAATTTGGGCTCAAATCAATTTTGATACTTTTTTTGCTATTGTTTAGAGAGTAAAAAGCAGTTTAGTAGGAGAAAAAAAGAAAGGAAGAGATGGGAATGAATGGCTGAGCAAGTAAAAGAGGAAATTAAGAGAGAGAGTGAGAGAGACAATAGAAGACAAAAGAGTGGGTAAAGAGAGACAAGAGAAAAAAGTAAAAAACGAATACATTGTTAAGAGAGTGAAAAAGAAGGAAAAAATAAAAATGAAAGGCAGTGGGAAATTGCAGGTGTTAAGCTGTTGTTGTTATTTATTAAGCTTAGCTTATTATGTACTTTATTATTTGAGTCAGCAGGTTTGTCTTGGTTGTTATATTCACAACATTTCGGCAGTTGTACACACTGGCCTTCTTCAGATGTCTGTTATTGTATTTGGTAACTTTTCAGAACTTTGAACTAACTCTTTATTCAGTCTTCAGATGCAAATTGTTCTCTTTCCATGTTTAAGGGATATTTCAAATCAATTAATACTTATTCACCATTCTGAATCACTTTTTCATCAGTTGTCTGTTTCATGCACTAAATTAGAGTATGTCACTTTCAGCACTTTCAGTGGTGTAAACTAATGTCTATACTCGGATAATGGAATTTATGACTGTCCTGACTCAAATGATGCAACTGGAACATTCAATTCTACTTCAGGCATATATTACTCTATTCCTCTGTTCTGTTGATGTAAGGATTTATGAACTTTTACTTTCACCTTTTCAAATTATGATTCTGGTCAATATAGACATTTTTTGAAATGTCTTTATCAAAATGACTGTGTCATGTTCTATATCTCATATGGAAAAAAAACCTACTCAGTTTCCTCTCTGCCTATGTAAAAAAGAAAGAACTCCTAAAATTGTATATGGTAATTTTCCTTTCATTTTACTTATTAAGCTTTATATTTTTATCAGCTTTATATTTTTATTGAACCAACTATTACTGGTTTCCTACCAGATTTTTTGGTACCTCTCTGATCAGCTCTACCTTAATTGTTAAAAGGATGAATTCAAGACAGCACATAGAGATAATTTATATTCCAGGATAATTATATTTTAAGTAGAATCTGCCTGCAGACAGTATTTTGCTGGCTACTATAATAGTTACTAATTTTTACCATTTATATTTATTTCCTGCTTTGTTGATTCAACTATGATGTTTGGTTTAATCCTGTATCCAGCTAAACCTTTCTCTGCAATGTGAAATTGAAACTTATCTTTAGTTCTTTTTTTTATTAGAAGGTGAAATCAGTTGAATTTCATGCTAGAACCTTCCACTATTCATCTACACAAAAAATTTAATATAATTGTAACTGTTAAATCAGGGTTTACAAGGAAAGTGCTTAAGAGAGCTTGAAAGATTCTGTCTAAAGAAGGTAACAGTAATTTCTTGAATTTTAATGTTAGAAAAATAGATTGCAAAAGAAAAACAATATTTGTAAATTAAACATTATGTTATTGAAAAAATGCTCATTGGTTTATCTCTCTTGTGGATTGTTGTGATCACGTCAAGGTCTTAATTTTTTAACTGCCCAAAATTATTTTATTTTCCAGCATTCTTTTCTTTTTCATTTTTTTTTTTATAATGGAAGTCATGTGTGTCTTATTTTGTGAGATTTATAGTCATAAATAAGTAGGCTCTGGTCCTACAATTTTTTGGCTGGGTTCAGTCTTTTCTTCTTCCTCTTTATATTTGAGGGTTGTTTTCTCATTAGTTGAGAGAGAAGTATATAAAGAGAAGTTTAGAGAGAGAGAAAAAAGAGATAAGGGTTTTAAAGGAAAGTACCTTATTTTAATTTTAATTATTTTATTTTTGTTTATTTATTTTACTTTTATATTTTATTTTTATCAGGACTCACTACACTCTCTTTATCAAGAAACATGAATCTACTTGTCTTTATGGCTTTATACACAGATTTATACCATGGAAATTAAATAATTTTGAGTTGTGTATTGCCTCGATTGTGAAGTGATTTCCACAGTGACTTTATTAAAGCACCACCTCTAGTTAGTTGGCTGTTGACTCTTTTTGAGTTCATCTTTCCTTTGGTAGGTCTTATTTCTCATCCTGCAAGTTTGTTAATCATCCTCCTTTGAAGTGAGGTGTGAGAGTCAGTTTATTTGCCAACAATCTGACAACAAGTATTATTCATCTCTCTATTCTACAACTGTTACAGGAAACACCTCTGTATGTAGCCAGAGATACATGGATTAGTCTCCAAGAGGGATTTTGTTGGTGTACAATGAGGAAGTTTTAAAGAAAATAGAAATAACAAGGTAATTTATACTAACAATCAGAAAGAAATAGTTGAAATTTCCGGGGTCTGGAGAATTTAACATTCACTGGATATACTGAAGGCAAGAGAAATTGAAAGACTGTAAGTAACCTACTTAACTTTGTGTACATGGATGGTTGTTTGTGTGAATCAATGGAGAACAATAACAAAGAGAGTTGATAAAGAATCAAATGATACATACAACAACAAAAGACAGGAAGTTATGGAGAGCCATGATTGCCCATGTTCTGAATGGAGATGGCACATAAAAAAAATAAATTAAATATTGGTTTTACAAGACTGGTAAGAGCAGCACTTTTTGTTCTGCTTTGAAATTTGCAATAGCATAACCAACTTTTATGAATAATTGTCAATTTTTTGCCTGAGCCATTGAGTTATGTGTTTAGGATTGGTAGACTTATGGTGATGGCATTCTAGAAAGAGAGAGGGAAAGAGCTAGCGAGAGAGAGAGAGAGAGAGAGAGAGAGGGGGGGGAATCAATTAAACAGAAAAGGAAATATATCCTTTCTCTTTTCTTAAAAACAAGAGAGATATGGGAGTAAAAAATTAGTCACATTCCATATTTGTGACTGCATGTGCATTCTATTTGTCTTTAATTTTATTTCTTATTTATCTTTCTGTTCCTCCTCTTGACAGAAAAATACACTGAACTGTAAATTTTACAGTTATCAATGTATTTTTTACAGTGTATGTATTAGAGCTGAAAGTCATATGGATTTATCTGTTAAAAAGAGAGGCGGGGAGAATGATAGATTATCATCGGCCTATCAGGAGACAAAAATTCATCCAGTATCCATTAGCGAGCGTTATAGAAATACAGATATATTTACAAATACAGATAGATTTATTTAGTTGAAAAAGAGAAGGGGTGAGCAGATACATATGGTCTTTTTTTATTTTTCTTTCTCAATAATACATTAACCAACCGTGAGTGTGTGTGTGTGTGCACGGCCCTACGTGCATGCGTGCCTGCTGCTGCTATTGTCCGTTTCGTTTTCTCTAGTTCATATTTTACTCGCACCTCAGCCAGCAAACACGCTGTGAGCTTCAATGGATATGGACGCGCTGACTCTCTGGAAGGACATTAAAGCGACTTTTTGGAGCGAAAAGTTCTGGTTTCCAAAAAATCTAACATGGGAATCGCTAGAAAACAAAGACGATGGGATTTATCACCCGCAGTTGAACGATTTGTATCTAGTTTTACCTATAGCTGTCTTTCTGTCGCTATTTCGGATATTCTTAGAAAGGTAAGTAACGAGAGATAGGGAGAGAGAAAGGACGGCAAATTGTTAGATGAAAACTGAAAAATGTACTTTCCTCCTTTTTATAAATTTAAATCAAATGTTTTTCGTCTAAGAGGTTTTTGCATTTTGATAGTGTTATTATTTGGAATGCTTAAATGCCGGCAGAAAAAAAAATCTCTAAAAATAAATTTTGTTTGGCTTCGAATGTATAAAGAAAGCCCAAAAAGTTAACAGGAGCAGATCGCCTAAATGAAATGTTATGCATCACTGCTGTTTGCCTGTCTATATTAAACTAGAATAGTAAAATGAAAATGATTAGGTGATGCGGACGAAAGGATTGTTCACTCGGGTTTATGTGAATGATGAGAAATGGAGGAATGAAACTACCTCATTTCTGAACATGGGACTTATATCCGTTAGAAAAGAATTAAAAAAAATAATGGTTAATATTGAAAATGTCAGACTGCGTTTGTCTTGGATTTTGTTTGATCATCAAATAATCCTTTAATTTCTTTTATTTTTTTTAAACGAATTCCCTCGTCTTAAAAGTACACTAATAGGAAGAAAGAACTACATATTTTTTTTTCTTTCTCTTTCCTTATTCTGATAGTAGTTTTACACTAATATTTATTGCACAATGTACACTACAGTACACCTTTTAATTCTGTGCGTTAAAGGAATTTCATATAAATTCTTTAACTGCTTAATATTGTTTGTTTATTGAAGTTTCTCGCCGTGTAGAACTTTACGAACAAGGAAACTTTTCTTGCAAGTTTACTTTTTATATATTCTTTTTCTATTGCACGCTATTTTGAACTGTAGTGTACACTTACACTATATATTTTTTTTTAATTTATTTTGCTATCCTTGATTTCTTTCTACCGTTTCTTCTTTCCAAGTTAAAAATAATTAATTTTCAAAGATGTTTTCCTTGACTATTCCCTTCTATGTTAATTGTACAGTGAGTTTTTTTTTTTGTCTTTTTTTTTTTTAATAAAATCATCGTGTATGATGCTACTGTTTACTAACAAAAAAAAACAAAACAGTTAAACGTTTTTTTGTCTAACTTGTCAAGCCATAAAATTTGTTTGTAAAGAGAAAGGAAACCTCAATGAAAACTGTCAAAATTATTCTAAAATCTAAATTTAATTTACTTTACTTTTTTGCAGTAATAAGAATATTATTACTCGGGCACCTTTTCCTGTTGATTGGCTCTCAGGTGCCATTAAGCTGATTCCGTGCTCCGTTTTGGAAGTTGGAAGTGAGACTTATGCTGTATATTGTTTATGAGCAGGTTTTCATTCAGAAAAAAAAGCAAGTGGAATCCTGTAGTGAAAACGAGTGTATTTAATTCCATTTAATTGCCCCCCCCCACTCCACACACACCTCCGTATCTACGAGGTACATCATCAATTTTCTTTAGGATTTTCGACATTAAAGTCTAAACTGTTTTTCGTGTGTTGCAACATTGCTTTGTTTTTTTGTTTTTTTTATTGTTACTCGTCCGTGTACAGTCGTCATATTCACTCCAGTTTTTATTTCGGTAAATTAAAATCATAATTATTCCAAACAAAACTTAAAGCAAAACTGTAGATGTGTCTCCTGTTTCCGGCGACATAGCTTCCTTCTTGGAGAATGCGAGATCTACTTCAAGCCAAAACAATCGAATCTATGGCCACCTATTTTCATTCATTATTTTTATTTTTTTTATTTTTTTTCTGGAGCGTTAGTTGTCGAAATCATTTAGTACTTATTGCTTGTTACTTCTTGGATTCATCACTTTTTTTAATTAATTGTACTTTAGTTGCTTCTTCCATTAATTGTAGGGCAACCTGAAGAATTAAATAAGCATGAGCTAACTTCTTTAAGGTGCTGAATTTATTTTAATTTTTTTTTTTTTTTTTTTTTAATACTAACTAGTTATTTAGATAAGTCATGAAATATCTTCTTTGATCGTGAAAGCTACCGCGCGCTACTGTACATTTGAGTAATCCGAATTGTCACTTTGAAAACTCCAAAACATTAGGTTACTTAGGATTAGGAATTCTCTGTAAAATCTGTTCAAACAGGTTTACTGTTGCTTTTTGTTTTAATTCATGTGCAGGCTTGGAAAACATGAAAACTTAAAACAACCTTGCATTTTAAATCGTTTCATTCACATTCTTTAAATTCTGAAATGTACGTATTGAATTCTCTTGCAGAAAAATTTATTCTGGAAATTGGCAGATTAAACATCCTTGAATTATTTTCTATTTGTAGATATGGTTAATTTCTCTTCAGATAAAGGCATTTTTTTTTCTTCACGCTCATTGCTGTGAGCTCTTATCTCTTTGCTCTCTCCGTGGCCAGTTGTTGGCTCGGTCTCTCTCTCTCTCTCTCTCTAAAACTGAAATCCTAATTTTACTCTCTGCTGTTTCTTCCTCTCCATCAGGCTTCCTCCTCCTTGCTGTTTGTCTAATGATGACGCCACTTTGTTGTCGAGCAAGGAGGAATAGGATGAAAGTCTAATGAATAATCAGATTAATTTCACATAGCAAACAATGTTCTTTAATTCTTAAATTAATATTTGCTTAACTTTTATTTATTTATTTAATTTTCTTTTGCACATAATCTTCCTGTTCAATCCTCACGATTGAATGAAATGAAAAGCATTTTTTAGTTTTGTCGGAAGTAGCCATGGATCTGATGAATCCTAATTACTATAATAACCGAAACCGGGAACAATTTATTTAATCTCTAATCGATGGAACTACAAACTCTTCTTGCCATTATTAATCGTGAACGTACTCTTTTAACTATTCGTCATACCTACTCAGAGCTGAGGAACAGCCATTTTGTTAGTCCTGATTTTATGAAAAATTTAAGTAGGTGTGTTGGTGTGTGTGTGTGTATGTATGTATATATATATATATATATATATATATATATAATATGCACAGTTAAGCCTTCACATCTTAATGAGTCAGTGATGCTTAAATGCAGTATCAGACTATTAAAATATATATTAGTGGGCTGTTCATTTTAGAAAATGGTGTAAAGACCTCTTGGACATGTACAACATTCTACATGTTGCCAAATCTTGTCCTAAACTGTACCTTAATTTTTACTTTGATTTATTGTTAGGTAACTCCAGTTGTGCCTTATTGCCCAAGCCTTTGAAACTGTTGGAAGTTTAAAATGTCTGCATATAATAACTAATCACATTCTATTAGTCTTATCACGGCCTAACACAAGGTCACAGTGGGACACTCTGTAAGGAACTTTATAGTGAATTCCTCTGGAGAAATTACTGTATTTGATGGCATGAAAGGCACCTGGCTATATCATATGCACCCTTTGTTTCAGAAGGGTGTATTCTAGGAAAATACTTATTTAAGCATGTATTGTTTGGTACTAGCTTGCAGCATTTACAGAAGCAGTTTATCTATTGCAGAAAACATGATTATATAAAAACTAAGTTAGCAGTACAGCTGAACATAAAGCCAGAAATCACAATAGTGAAAACTGCTTACATTGCAAAAAAAGCATGTTTCATTTACAGTTGAATGTAAAATACTAAGAGAATGAAGTTAATGTTCTGTAACAAAAACTACATTTTCAAAGCCTAAAACCTCATCACTACTATTGGTATCACTGTCTTGAAAGAACATGTGGTCTTTTTTTCTATCAAGGGCATTGCTAATGCCACACTTTTAAAAGAATTCACAATTTTAGTTTTTTTTTTGTTTTGTTTTTTTTCCCCAAGATTTCTACACTTGCACAATACTGAGCAGCTTCATTCTTCCTGTAGGCGTAAGGTAATGTTCTGGATTTCCCAATCACCTGTTCCAATGTTCCTGAATGTCTTGATTAAATGGCTTATTCCCAGACAAATCTAAAGGCTGCAATTGCCTCATCAGTGTCAGAAATGACAGCCAACTGGGTTTTCAATTTTACCATCTTTTTAATGGTTTCAGTTCTCCATGCTTTAAACTGGTCCTATACATTTTGTAACCATGGTTTTATTTCAGATTTGTCCATTCTACCTCTTGTATAGACATAAATATTTTGGAACATTTTTTTCTTTAGACTGTTCTTTTTAAATAGCTAACTGTAGCAGTGGGCCAGAATTGGGAATTTTTTTTTTTTTCCTGATGACTGTTTTTAGAACCGTTGACATCCAGTCTAGGTTTATTTTGTTTTATGGCATATCAACCTCAATGGGTTATTTAATGCCACCAAATTTTTTATTGTTGGTAATATTTTTTTTCAAAAATCTATTTCTGGTAATATTTTTTCTTCAAAAAATTTATTTCCGGTAATATTTCTTTTTTTTTCAAAAGTATTGCTGGTAAATCTTTTTCAAAAATGTGTTACTGGTAATGAATTTTTACAAAGTATTTCTGGTATTAAAACATACTTTTACACTTACATAGTGTTTTGACCCCATTTTTGGGGTTAACTATTTGCCTATAGCTGGAACCCTAAGAGGTACTACCACCCCGGGTCAGGGTGGACCTGAGAACACCAGCAATTAAGAGGTGGTTGCACACTCCTCAAAACCTCCTGATCAGAGGCCTTGCTGTTGGATGTAGTTTATCATCATACTCAGGACAGCCAGTCTTTGTAGATATTACTCGGTTGACTTGCAGGTGGACATTGACCTCCCTCCTCCCCCACCAAGTGAATGATAGGTTCTTTATTTAGACTGAAAGTAGATGCTCAGGATTTCAGAATTGATCTAAATTTATCTAGCTACAAATATGATTGCTTGAAGTAAATCAGACATTTTTAGGTGATTTCTGGATACTTGCTTTTTCTGTAGCCTCCCTTCATTTTTTTTTTTTCTCAAATCAATAGCGTCTTGTTGAAATGAATGTTTTCAGTAACAGCAGTTTAACTTTACTCATTTTCAAACATATCCAGTAGATTTTAGAGCTCTACAACACAAAATTCATTAAAATTGAAACCTTTTTGTCCCTTTCCACCTCCCCAACTTCGAGTAAGAGTTTCTCCTTTTTAAT